AAAGCCAGACACCATCACACACTCACCACTATTCAATTGAAAAAAAATTCTCATGACCTGTGGGAGAAGTTCTCAAGTCGTAAGGAAGAATTTTTCAAACAGGAAAACATTTCTGTGGAACATATTTCTAAAAAGAATCCAGGTGAAGAAAAATGGTCTAGACGGAGAAATTCTATAGAAGAAAAAAATTCAGTTCCTTGACAAGGCCTCTTCCTATGGGGAAAAATACCTAAGGTCCAGAGAAAATAATTTTTTTGCAAAAAAAAAACAACTCTAGATCCTTGAGGCTGACTTTTGACTGAAAAGTTATTTTTTCTGAAGAAAAAGTTCCCAAGACCTTAGGACACTTTAAAAATGGGAAGACGTAATTTCTTAGAAGGGCCAGGTGAAAATTTCTGACAGGAGAGAAATATTCCGTTCCAGGACATTCCTTATTTTGTTTGAAAAAAAAAATTCTAGTCTTTCGATTTTTTTCCTTCTTTAAAATGCAACTCTGGGCTTTAAAAATGACTTCGGGGGCGTATTTCACAGCTTCTGAGAAAAGAAAACCCTCAGAAAGATTTTTCTGAAGATTAAGAGGTAGTTATTCTTAGAGTTTTTTTATTGGATAAAATCTTCCTTTATTTCTCAAGAATTAATCCAGGTAAAGAATGAGGCCTAGTCGGAGAATTTTTATAGAAGGAAATAAATTCAGTTCCTGGACAAGGTCTCTTCTTATGGGGAAAAATACCTATGGTCCTGAGAAAAAAAAAAACATTTTTCAAAATAAACTCTGGGGCCTTGAGTTTGACTTATGGCTGAGAAGGCTTTTTTCTGAAGAAAAAATTCCTTAGGCCTTGGGGAACTTTATAAATTGGAAAAAGTTATTTTTTAAAAGGCCCTGGAAAAGATTTCTGTTGTCTGATATTCAGTTCCAGGACAACCCCTTTTTTGTTTCAAAAAATTCTTCGGGTCCTTAGAAATTATTTTTTCTTCAAAATACAACTCCTGGCCTTAGAGATTACCTCTTCCAAAAGAAAAAAACCTAAGTCTCGAGTAAGAAGTTCAAAGTTCTTGAGAAACATTTTTCTATAGAAAAGAAAATCCTGAGAATTTTATTTATTAAGAAAACTTCTTCAGGACTTGGGAAACTTTCCCTGAGGAAAAAATCCTAAAGAATGTTTTTTTTTTCGATAGTGGAAAATTGTTTAAATTTGAAAAATAAGTCCCTATATTTCTGCATGTTTTCTAGTTCCTTTAGTGGTTTCCTATTGGATTAGCTCTTCCTTAGGATCTTCGGCTTTTTTCTTTTCTATCTTCTTCACGAAAAATTGTAAAAATTTAAGCCCTGAAATATTCATTATTTTCCTCAGTGTATTTCGCTGGCCTACAATTATAGCGTCTCTGCTTGTCGAAATTACACTGAACTTAACTGGCCAACTTTGCAACTGTGACCTCCAATGGGAGGGGGAGAGAGTGTGGCGTTAGTTGGTTTGATTGTTATTATTACTCTGTAATGTAAACCTCCATATCTTCTCTTCCCTTCTTTCGTCCCCCTCTCTCTCTTCCGACGCCATAAGTAGAACATTGAGTATATCATATTTTATATTATTTTATAATATTTCCTTGGGTCCCACTCATCATGATTGCACTTGAATGGGGGGGGCTAGGTTGGAGTATTTCACTTCGTTAAGGCAAAGTGTGAATGTTGTGGTGTTGGATGGTGGAGAACTGTGGACAAATGAATAAAACTATCTTCTTCTTCTTTTTCTCTTTGCTGCTGCTTCTGCTGCTGATATTAAATGCATAATTTAGTTTGTTTGATATCTGTGGTTTATTTTTTGTTTTTCTTTTTTTTTACTTGCCACCATGTGGCACGTGTCTCTTAGGCTAGGCACGAAAGGAAACAGCAACAACATCAACGACACCAGCAGACCACAAAGTGAGTAGAAGTAATGAAACTATTTGCCACACACAGAGAACGCAGGCGATTGAGGACAAGAGGGGGGGAGAAGAGAGAAGTGTGGGAAAGAAAGAGAAAATTATCAAGCAAAATGATACACTGCCAACCTCTTCAACTCCCGGCATTATTTTAGCAAAACCCTTTGCCTTCTTCGAATACATTTAAATTAATATGCAATGGGGGAGAATGGAGGGCTGGTGTTATAGTCTGGGTAATTAAGTTAGCTGAATGTTTTGCAGGACAAAACTAAAGGACAAATGAATGGAGAGCCCAGAATGTGTTGCGCTGGTGTCCAAACGCACACGCACGCACACGCACGCACACACGCATTCACTTACGGCAACGTGCAAAAGGACCATCCGCCAGAGCTAGAAAATTAACACATACAAAAATGTAAATTTATTTATGTGACCAACACAGGAGCTCTCTCTTGCTCCCTCCCTCTTTCTTTCTCTCTGCTTCGGAGAAACAAGGATGCCAAATGCTGCCTGAATATATGACCCGTTTTTGGTCCATAATTTATAGATTTATGTTTTTGTATATCATTTGCTTGTCCTTTTATGAGCCACCAACCCTTTTTCTTCATTGGGAAAAGATCCTGTGTGTGTAAATTATTTATCTTCTTGCCAGAACAAAATTGAAGATTTATGAGGAGAAAAAATGAAAAATGGTTAGAAAATTATAAAATAATTTTAGGGATTCAGAAAGACTTATATTTTAAATTTGAAAAAAAAAAAAAAAATATCAGAGGACCTTTAGCATCGAACACCTTAATATTGCAACAAAATTACTAGGCCAAAGAGGAATATTATTTTCTATGATTTTTTCTTAATGGCTAAAAATTCTCGAGGTCTGAAAATTATATTTTGCGATAGGAAAAATCCCTAAGAACCTAGATTTGAATTTTCCCCTTGAAAACTAATTCCTCAGATCCTGATTATGGAAACATTCTAGGTTATCGTTAAGGACTTTGTTTGTAAGAAAAATCTCTTTGGGAAAGAGAATGTTATTGCCCCAAATGTAAAAAAATCATCAATTAGGGAAATCAATTCAGGCTTTAGGTATACTTCATCTTAAGGGAAAAATTGACGTACGATTTTTTTATTAAAATAAATAATTATCTGGTCCTCAAAAATCAACCTCTACTCCTGAAGTCCTCATCATTTGTCCCACAGAAATGGACAAAGTTCTCGATCACCAAAATCTAGTTCTTTTTTTAAATATTACTTTTTTGAAGATGCCTGTTTTAAACCTGAAGCGAGTCAACAAACGGTTCTTTTGGTCCTTTTTTTGAAAACTCCCTTAAAACCGGAAAGTAGCAAGTCAAAATATTCGCAAAATTATTAAATATAAAATTATCATTTCTAAGCCACTCGTCCGACAGCTGTTAAAATTATTGTGACAGCTCATTATATTGTTTACAAGAGTACTGAGAATTTTCCAGGAAAAAAATTATTCGTGATGGAATTCAAGCGTGATAGTGTGATTTCTTTATATTTGGCTCGAAAACCACAAATGGCTATCGTTAGAGCACTCCAGCATTTCAATGTGAATAAGTCTTTTGTATCTCATACGATCGCTCGTTACCGTGATATGATGATACTGCTAGCGTAGCCCGACTTGATCGAAACCCGCGTCGCAGAAGCCAAAAAATGGCTCGTGAGCTGAACATATCGCAATATTCCATTCGGCAAATATTAAAAAATAAGTTCGGGGAAAGCCATTGAAATTCCAAAAAGTGGAAGAATTTACACCGCACCACCACAGAAAGAAAATAGACTCAAAAGAGTAGCTTCGTTTGGCCGAAAGTGGTGAACTTTCGAATTTGGTTTTCTCCGTCTTTGATGAGAAAACATTCGTTGTCCTGCAGTTTGTAAACAAACAAAATGATCGTGTAAACTTGCCAATGAGGTCAGCTGAAAATGTACACCTTCGGTTGGCCACCAGAACTCAAGCGCTGGTTATTGTGATGGTGTGGGCCGCCATAACAGTATTAATCGACCGTGGCATCAGAATAAATGCCGAATATTAACGCGAAAATATTCTAGAGGGTGTATTGAAGCCTTGGGCACGCAAAAATTTTGGCCGCAGACCTTGGACATTCCAACAGAACTCAGCACCATCGCACTCAGCACGCCCCACCTAAAAATGCTTACAATATGAGGTCCCTCGCTCCATTTCCAGCGCACAATGTCCACCAAAATCTCCGGATACCAATCCGTGGGGCTATTGTGTCTGGAGTATTTTGGAAAGCAAGGTTGGCACCAAAAAAATATACCAAAGTGCCGATCACCTTAAGCAAGCGCTTCGCCAGAAATGGGCCAAAATGCAGCAGAGCAACTTTTTTACTTTACTTTTTTAAAGATGTCTGTTTTAAACCTGAAGCGGGTCAACAAAGGGTTTTTTGGTCCTTTTTTGAAAATATGGTTAAAAACTCACTTGAAACGGGAATTTATTAATTAGAATTATTAGTCTCTATCTCCCCTAAACGCCAGGAATTGAGGAGACATTTTAAGGTTAAAGCCGTATATTGTGTGAGTTTTGCACAAAATCTCCAACAAAGCTTCATTTTAGAATCCACGTTTATTGGGCCCTGGAAAACAATAAACGCTAAAAGTTTTTCGATTGTGGTAGGTAAAAAAATATCCTTTTAAAAATCCGCTCGTTGGACCTAAAAATGATGCTCTTAAAAATACCTTAAAATATCCATGATTACTAAAGTGTTATCCTTCCAAAAACATATTCTTTGATTGTCCTTAAAATGTCTTTCTCTTAAAAATCTAAGACTATGAGCAAGTTGATCCTTAAAAAATATTCTCTAAAATCAAGGATTATTAGTATGACGATCCTTGAAAATTTTTTTTAGAAACAGTTAAGAAGTCATTTTCATACAATATTTTGTTAAAAAAATACAATCATTGCTTTGCTAATTATTTAAGAGATATTTGAAATAATAATCGTGGGAATTTTAAAAAATTATTTTAAAAATTAACCAATGAAAATAAAAAATACAAACATAAAAAAAATAATAATAAATAAATAAAACTAAACTACTTACGATGTTTCTTTAAGTAAGGAGTCTACAAATGATGCGGGGCTAAATGAAAAAAATATGAAAATAAAAATGAAAAGAAAAAACAAATTATTATTTAAAAATAAAAAATTTAAAGGATATAAAAAATTATAAAAAAGTAATTATTTAAATGAAAAAAATATGAAAATAAAAATGAAAATAAAAAACAAATTATTATTTAAAAATAAAAGACATAAAAAATTATAAAAAAATCATTATTTAATAACGTAAAAATAATAGTGTAAATAAAGGAAAAATTTCCGAAAAATAATAAAAGTACATAATATTTAAATAATGACTTAAAAATAAAAATTAAAAAAAAATATTAATAATTGTTTTCGAGTTTCATTTGTATCAATCTGCTCCTTGGAATCCTGAACATATACTCACGACTGCACAAAACCTCAATCAGCGAGTTATCAATTCAATTTACCTGTAAAATAGATTATAAAAAATAAAATGTTAGGCGTTTTTATAGATATTAACATAAATTAAACGAATTTTAAATAAAAAATATATTATAATATATATTTCTTAAATATGTTATAACATATTTCTAGCTTTCGAGAATATTTACACATTTAATATTTACATTAGGGACATTGCGTTTTTTCTTAATACCAAATTTCAAAAAAAAAAAATTAACATAGGGTACGTTTTGGAAATAGTGATTAATTTACCATTAATACGAGGGAAATATGAAAAGTGAGGACCAACCTCGAATATTTATTTTTTTTATTTATTTTTATTCGTGTATTTATTTACCTTTATGCTAGCTTGTGGTTGTATTCATTTTTTTTCTTTTTCATTAATTAATTAATTATTTTAATTATTTGTTGTTTTTTATTATTTATTTAATTGTATTTATTTATTATTAGTACAGTTCCAATTTGAGTAAAATCCACACTACCACACTGTTATACTCAAAGCAAACCAATTCTCATTCTCTCAGCCACAAAAAAAAAAACACTCTCAGAGAGAGAAAAAAATCCCCCTCCTTTGGAAAAGAAAAATCCCCATTAGTTATTGTTATTATTGACAGATTGATTGATTTAATAACAAAACCACATGATTTATTAACCACCTAGGCAGCAAACAATCAAATCAACAATTCAATTAGCCAATGTGGCACTCAACCGCAATTATTCGATGTGGATTTTGTTTAAAAATAATAACCAACAACAATAAAATAGTTATAATAATTCAATAACAAAGAGTTGACATTTGACTATAAATTACTACAACTCTTCGTTAGTTGCCAGTGGAACCACGTCAGTACGTCAGAGTCGGATACAATTTTAATTAGCCATGAAACTTTCAAATATTATTGCAGTAATTTTCAACATTTTGTTTTTCATGGTTTTGACTATAGCTTCTCCGGTGGAAGCTAATCCTGCGGTGAGGAGACATGATCTGCCAGTTTGCCGTTGTTCGTTGGATGGTCGCGGAAGTGGGGTTCCACCAAATGGTTGCGGCTGTGCGGTATGAAGAGAGATTTTGATTTTTTAAGAAGAGAGTAATTAAAAAAATATATAATTTTCTTTTTAGATAAACTGATATAGTTTTGACTGGAAATCCTGGAGTAAATAGTAATAAAAAGTAAATAATGTATTATGAAAAAATGGAATAAAATGACATTTTAATTTATTCTCAGAAATTCTGTGAATGACCTAATACCTATACCCCTGAAAGGTATCGATGAGCAGACGTAACACACTAAAGTGTGAGATTAATTGAGAGAGTCATGAGAGTCATTTTATAAAAAAAAAAACTAGGAATGGCTACTGAAGACATGTTAAGGAACTTTATATGCAAAAGTCTGTTAAACGTTAGTTCTCTGAAAGACCCATTCTTATTCTTTACTATTGTAGATCATCTAAAAATCTTCTAAGAGCTTTAAAAGCATTTAATTCGTGTTCTATGGAAGAGCTTTACAGTGTCTTTAAGAGAGCTTTAAATGCTCCACTATCTTTAAAAGAGTTTCAAAGTGTCGTATGTATATCTGTGGAAGACCTTTAAACCGCCATACATCTACAGAAAGTTTTTCAACATATAGAAGAGTACTAGGAGCTTTTTCTAATTTTTAGAAGATCTTTGAAAACTCCTCAATCTATGGAAGACCTTTAAAGGCTTTTATATATATATAAAAGAGCCTTGACGACTCTTCTATACATAGATCTCCTCACCTATATATAAAGGCTCTTCTCTCTTGAAAAGATCTTTAAACGTCTACTTATCTATAAAATAGCTTTAATGTCTCGTCGGTATTTGGAAGAGCTTCTATAAACGCCTTTGGAACGGGTCTTCTACTTCTGTCCATCGAAGTCCCCTTAAAGGCTCTTTTGTTCCTAGAGACCTCTTAGTAACATTTCCATTAAAAAAACACTTTTTAAGGCCTGATCTGACTAACACTTAAACAATTTTCTATTCATATATGTCTGGGGGTCTACTTTTTTTTATAGAACCTTTATATATTCTGTGTATAGATGACCTCTAAATAGCGTTTTCTCTATAGAAGTTCTGAAAACGTGTCTTTTGTCCATCGAAGGGCTCTTTTGCTCCTAGAAGACCTCTTAGGGACATTTTGATTCAAACATACATTTGTAGAAGTCATGTATAGGCGACTTCTGTCTATCTGTTCTGCTCTATTCTCTTTTCTTCCTAAAATACCTATTAGGGACATTTCGATTCAGTTATAAATTTTAAGAGCTGTTCAGAACACATAAACAATGTTCTATTCATAGATGTCTAAGAGGCCTATTTTTATAAGATCTCTAAATGTTCTATCCATAGATGTCCTCTAAAGGGGTTTTTTCTATAGACCTTCTGTGAAGGTGTCGTCTGCCCATCGAAGGGCTCTTTTGTTCCTAGAAAATCTCTTAGGGGCATTTTGATTCAAGAATACATTTTAAGGACTTTTCTGACCTCTTCAAACATTTTCTTTTCATAGATGGTTTAAGGGGTCTACTTTTATTATATGACCTTTATGGATGGCCTCTAATTGGGGTTTTTTTCTGTAGAAGTTCGGAAAAGGTGTCTTCTGTCCATCGAAGTGCTCTTAAAGGTTTTTTTGTTCCTAGAAACCCTCTTATGGAGACTTCCATTCAAAAACACGTTTTAAGAGCTGTTCTGACCTATTAAATAATGTTCATATCTGTCTAGGACCTATATATATTCTGTCTATAGATGGCCTCTAAAGGGTTTTATCTCTGTAGAAGTTCAGAAAAGGTGTCTTCTGTGTATCGAAAGGCTCTTCTGTTCCAAGAAGACCTCTTAGCGAAATTTCGATTCAAAAATAACTTTTATGAACTTTTCTGAATCCTTAAACAATTTTCCATCAATAGCTGTCCAAGGAGTCTACTTATTTATAGAACCTGTATCCCAGAGGACTTCAAGAAAAAAATATCTTATGGGATCATTTTTATCAAAGAAGACCTTGCAAACCGGGTTTCTAACCAATACATAATTTAGAAGAAGACGAAGAAAAGAATACCCCATCTACAGGGAACCACAAGAGGTTGATATTAAGATCTTGAATATTTAAAAGGCCTCGTAGGGCCAAAATTTTATTGAAGACCTCTCCGAGGCACTTCAATCCCAGAAATCATTTGTTATGGTCTTCTATTTGTCAAAAGACCTCGAAGGACCAACATTTTAAAGGAGACCTCGCAGATGGACCTCTACACCAAAAATCATTTGTTGCGATCTTCTATTTGTCGAAGGCCTCCCAGATGATATTTTCTTTAAAGAACAGTCCTACATGGATTTTTATTAACCTCGAAGTCATCTTGCGTGGTTTTCTACTTGTAGAATAGAATAAAGAATGGAACATCTCTAAAAAAGCTTTCTATTTTTAGATGACCCACCGATGGTACTCAAAAATACCTTCGAAAACATTTTGGGAAACAAAACGAATTTCTTATCATTGCATAATTCAGAAGAAAAAGAAGAAAGGAATACCCCATATACAAGGAACTACAGGGGTATATTACGATCTTGCATCTTCAAAAGACCTCGAAGGGCCCAAATTCTATTCAAATTCTCCGCTGCACTTAAACCCCAGAAATCCTTTTTTATGGTCTTCTATTTGTCAAAAGACCTTGAAAGGCCAATATTTTATAAGAAGATCTTTGAAAACTCCTCAATCTATGGAAGACCTTTAAAGGCTTTTGTATATATAAAAGAGCCTTGACGACTCTACTATACATAGATCTCCTCACCTATATATAAAGGCTCTTCTCTCTTGAAAAGATCTTTAAACGTCTACTTATCTATAAAATAGCTTTAATGTCTCGTCGGTATTTGGAAGAGCTTCTATAAAAACCTCTTGAACGAGTCTTCTACCTTCTGTCCATCAAAGTCCCCTTAAGAGCTTTTTTTGTTCCTAGAAGACCTAGAAGACGACATTTCCATTAAAAAATACCTTTTAAGGGCTGATCTGACTGACATTTAAACAATTTTCTATTCATATATGTCTGGGGGTCTACTTTTTTTATAGAACCTTTATATATTCTGTCTATAGATAACTTATAAATGGGGTTTTCTCTGTAGAAGTTCTGAAAACGCGTCTTTTGTCTGTCAAAGGGCCCTTTTGTTTCCAAAAGACCTCTTAGGGACATTTTGATTCAAACATACATTTGTAGAAGTCCTGTATAGGCGACTTCTGTCTATCTGTTCTGCTCTGTTCTCTTTTCTTCCTCAAATACCTATTAGGGACATTTCGATTCAGTAATAAATTTTAAGAGCTGTTCAGAACACATAAACAATTTTCTATTCATAGATGTCTAAGAGGCCTATTTTTTAAAAGATTTCTAAATGTTCTGTTCATAGATGACCTCTCAAAGGGTTTTTTCTATAGACCTTTTGTGAAGGTGTTGTCTGTCCATCGAATTGCTCTTTTGTCCTAGAAAATCTCTTAGGGGAATTTTGATTCAAGAATACATTTTAAGGACTTTTATGACCTCTTCAACCATTTTCTTTTCATAGATGTTTAAGGGGTCTAGTTTTTTTTATAGAACCTTTACATATTATATCTAAAGATGGGGTTTTCTCTGTAGAAGTTCAGAAAAGGTGTCTTCTGTCCATCGAAGTCCTCTTAAAAGGTTTCTTGTTCCTAGAAACCCTTTTATAGAGACTTCCATTCAAAACACGTTTTAATGGCTGTTCTGACATCTTAAACAGTTTTCATTGATGTTTAGGACCTCTATATATTCCGTCGATAGATGGCCTCTAAAGAGTTTTTTTTCTGTAGAACTTCTGAAAAAGCGTCGTCTGTCCATCGAAGGGCTCTTTTGTTCCTAGAGGACCTCTCCGCGAAATTTCGATTCAAAAATAACTTTTAAGAACTTTTCTGAGCCCTTAAACAATTTTCTATCCATAGCTGTCTAAAGGGGTCTACTTATTTATAGAACCAGTATCCCAGAGGACTTCCAGAAAGAAAACCTCTTATGGGATTATTTTTATCAAAGAAGACCTTACAAACCGAATTTCCAAGCATTGCATAATTTAGAGGAAGAAGAAAGGAATACCCCATCTACAGGGAACCACAACAGGTTGATATTAAGATCTTGAATATTTAAAAGAACTCGAAGGACCCGAATTCTATTGAAGGCCTCTCCGCTGCAATTCTACAGCAGAAAACTTATTTTTAGGGTCTTCTTTTTGTCGAAAGACCTCGAAGGAACAACATTTTAAAGGAAATCTCGCAGATGGACCTCAAACTAAAAATCATTTGTTGCGATCTTCTATTTGTCGAAGACCTCCTAGATGATCTTTTCTTTAAAGAAGAGTCCTACATGGGTTTTTATTAACCTCGAAGATATCTTGCGTGGTTTTCTACTTGTAGAATAGAATAAAGGAGTTTATACTAATCGAAGATCACTAAAAAAGCTTTCCATTTTTAGATGACCCACCGATGGTACTCAGAAATACATTCGAAAACATTTTGGGAAACAAGCCCAATTTATAATCATTACATAATTCAGAAGAAGAAGAAAAGAATACCCCATCTACAGGGAACCACAGGTTGATATTACGATCTTGAATCTTCAAAAGACCTCGAAGGGCCCAAATTCTATTGAAGACCTCTCCACTGCACCCAGAAATCCTTTTTATGATCTTCTATTTGTCAAAAGACCTCGAAGGGCCAACATTTTATAGGAGACCTCGCAGATGGACCTCAACACCAAAACTTATTTGTTGCGATCTTTTATTTGTCGAAGGCCTCTTAGATGATATTTTCTTTATTGAAGAATACCACCTGTAGAATACCTGATACTGAGATGTTTTCCGAATATAAATATAAATCTTTCAAGAGTCTCAAAAGATCGCCTGCCTACAGAGCCCCTATAAAAGGGGTTTCTACCCATGGAAGATCTCTAAAAAAGCTTTGCATCTTTAGAAGACCCACCGATGGTACTCAGATTTACCTTCGAAAACATTTTGGAGACCCAGGGAACAAATTTGTGATTTTTAAATTAAAATGTCATAAAGGAGCGCTCGAGTTCCGTTCCCATCCTCGGCCTGCATCAAAAGAATATCTATTAAATAATTTTCTATCAAAAATCTAATTGAAGTTAGGTTCTGCGGTGCTTTCCCATTTATAAAAAAAAAGTTATACGACAAATAAAGGGGACTTTTCTTGAGAATATGGAAAAA